AGGCAAAAAAACCCAAAACCCAACAGAGGTTACTTTTAGCCCATGGACATGTATAACTTGATAAGAACAAATCAGATTAATGTAGGCGTGTGGTCAGGGACACGCAACATGACAGTGCTGCAGTGTTGTAGCATTAAGAGCTCAGTGAGAGACTTGCAAGGGAAGACCTGGAAAAAGACAAACTCACAGACCAAGGCAGCCCCAAAACACTTTAAAAGAGTGCCTGCATGGGCTCTTAGTTAAGGTCTGCTTTTTACCACAAAAGGTAAAAGGTCTGGGTCATTTTGCAGTGACCAATTTGTTGTGAATCCCTGCTGGTTGGCAGAGTCTACCCCCTCTTCCCAGAGCAACTTCATTCAGAACTCACCTGATCCATGAAGGTATCATGGCACTAACAGGGCCACAAGTGCAGTCTGGAAGAAGCTGAGCTGTGGAGTAATGCTCAAAACTTCTAATCTGTGCTAAGCATGCAGAGTGATCCCTCAGGAAAGAAAACTATTTATGACATCCTGTATCAGGGCAGCTCTATGGGTACGTACTGTGGGGAAACAACGAGCACAACCCCCGCACAGTGACAGATGAATCCAGCCTTACACGGGAAATGCAAAAAAGAGACAATCTGGGCAGGTTCAGGGCAGAACTCACCATTCCAAGAGCAACAATCTCCTTCTGCCTCCCAAGCTAGGTGCATCTGCGCAGCTGGCTGCCCTTCCAGGTCTGTGAGGAAACACAGGGATCTAGTAAGAGGAATACTAGGCCAGTCATCAATTCTATTTTTCCAGAATTCAGGGGAGAAAAATAAAAACGAGGCGGGTGGACATGAAGCAGGATGCACAAATTACAGTACTGGAGAATTGAGCACCTGCACCACTAAAGCCTTACTCCTTTTGCGCTCATCCAGTGCTAGATACAATACCAGATGCTTCCAGGAGAGAGCCGCTCATCTAGCCATAAATCAGCACCTTATCCACACAGATGCCAGCCAATTACCTGCTAAGAGAGACAGGGTACCACGCAGGGAAGTTGCATGGTCCGCAGGCAGCCTGCTTCAAGCTGGACAGCACCAGGATCCTGCGTGTGCAGCAGAAATATGCTGAGCATCAGGTAGTCTGAGAGAGCCACCTCTAGGGCAGAAGCAGAACTGCAGTTCCAAGCCGTTCCACGAGCACTCTCCGTCCCACAAAAAGCGTAACTGCACATCCTACAGCCAGGAAAATGTGAGGGCTGCTGGAAAGGGGAAGAAAACTCAGACAATGTGGCCTAGGGAGCAATAGAATACACTGGGTAAGGAGATGGACTGCTCACCTTCTGGATGCAAACAGCAGCCTGCTCACAGTCCCATTCCTGGACTTTTCCTGCCTCTGATGCCGCATCCAGATGAGTCTACACTAAGAACCTGGCTCACAGGCAGCCCTGACACAGCCACTCTGCCACCTGCACCAGCCGCACAGCCTCTCCCCACAGCACAACTGGCCACAAGGGCTAAAGGAAACAGAAATACAGCCCGGCTGAGCAAGATGCTGCTCCCAACACTGCTCAGGACCAGTTCTGACTTGCAGGCAGGGCACTATAAAGAAAAGAGCACTCTTCTGTGCTGTTCTACAACCAGAAGGAATGGAGTACCAGTACAAGCTCTTTCCACCCTCCCCCAGCAGGCACCATACCACAGCAGCATGGCTGAGACTGAAGGTGATATGCGCAGTCTCAGTTCTGCTGCCTCCTGTACTTTAGGAGCAGCATGTGCATCTCATCTGGTCCATGCTACTGAGCTAAACTCACACCAATTAGACAGAAACAAGCATCTGTCACAGTTCCATAGATCATGAAACTCAGCATCACCTCACACACCTTGTGAAGTCCACCACTACCCCACATACTGTCACCAACCACAGCTCTAGTTCCTCCTGACACACCAACCCCATCTTTTGCCTACACTGGAAGACCTTAGAACTAGGCATCCACTCCCAGCCTGAAACTGGCAAAGGACCTCCACCACATCTCCACCCAGAACATAGTGCACGTCTTTCCTTTATGCCACCACAGATGCTGAGGCGGCATCTCCATGCAGGAACCCAGGGACAGCCGTGCACACCCTGAGAAGGTGCTGCACTCGTGGGACAGTTGGGCTGTCCCCTTACAGCACAGGAGATCGTGCCCTCCACCATCACTCTGGACACAGCACTCACTCAGCCTTGTGGGCTGCACAGGCTCCATATGGACAGACAGAATCTGCTAATGCTCCTGTCAGGGCCCTGGCTCATTCATGTAGGGAGCGCTTGGAAGCTCCCAGCCAGCCTGAGGAAAAACAGGCAGGACCAGTCATTAATATGATGGCCCAAGGCAAAACACAAGATGCTCAATCCTAAACGAGTTTATAGCCCTGCAGGACAAAGTTCTCTCTTCAAAGCCCCTGGAATCAAGAACAGATGATGGCCACAAGTCCTAGAAAGAAAATACCCTTTGTTTCTTCTGCCAGTCCAGCTCCTTTTACACTGTTTCTTCTTCCCCTACCTGAAAGGGAGAAATTTTTCACCAGGAGGTAAAAAACACAAACAAAAAAAAACAAGAAAAACCTTCAGAACCCATCAGGAAAAACAAAATACCTTTGAAAACAATTTACCCACTGCTAACTACACCCCACTGACACAGAGGGATTTAGTCTCATCTCTGTTACAGGCTGAATAACCAGCATGGTGATAACCTGGGCTGGTGCAAAGAGGCCCAGCACAGGAAGGAAGCACTTGAGGAAGAACAGCAGGAAGCTCAAAGACAACATAAGCCTTTAGCAATCAGAAACCTGAAATAAGGAGATTGGAGAACTGTGGAAGAACCCATCCTGCTTTCCATAACAACCCTAGCTTTCCACAGGTATCCCCTGTAATCTCTGGTCTTTGTTGTATTTTGCTGTTTTCAAACAGCAGCTCTCATCCTGTCCTACCAAACAACCTGGATGTCCACACTTCAAACTGCCTTATAGTTTGTAATGCAAAGATTAAAGACATGATCCGTGTTTTTATACGTTTATCTGCAAGCAGCCAACGGGAGGTTTTGCTTTTTTAGTTGCATCAAGTTTGAATACCAATTTCTACAGGACTCCATAAGACAGAAAGTCTCCATTTATGATCTCCATTAACAACTTGCTGAGAACTGGACAGCTCGGAGAAATCAACCTGCTGTTGGGTGCTCCATGGTTGACATATGGAGGTAATTAAAACTTAAGTGACTCTTCCTAAAACTCATAAATGACAAGTCTGTGATGCTATCGATCAAGTCCATGATTTGGTAAAATAAGATACACTGTACATAAACCACTTCAGTGCCTTATGCTCTAACCCCTTAATTCATTACCAAGCAAGTCTTAGAGAAGGGTTTCCTTTATTTTACCTGGAATTAATTATAGACTAAGTGGCTCACATTTAATAATGCTATCCTCCTTTCCAAAAGTGAAACACAAGGCTCCCTCTCTGAGCCTTTCCTGCTACTCCAGGTTTGGTTTTGGCTTTTTGGGGGTTTTGTGTGTGAGGGGTGGGTGGGTGTTGTTTAGTCACTTATTTTTAAATAAATGCCAGCAGACCAGAGAACTCCAGCCTATTTCTTTAAAACCCCGGTAAAAGTTATGGACACACCGACCTTGAAGCAGCTGTCCCAGCTAGCTGCTATTTAACAACTTTTTCTTACCCACAAATGAACAAGGTAGTATCTTTTTTGGTTTAATAATACTTTATTAATCAAACACAAAATACTTTATTAGAAACAGATGGTATTGCTGTACTTACTGCATACTTCTTCATGCCAGGATTTTTGTTGTTTTTTATGTGTAGAAGTTTGTATTAACTTCTCTATTACCAATACTTTTAACCTCCATAAAGGAGGCATAAAGCCTACAGCCAACAGGTATTTTCCACTTATCTAAGCTACATCTTTGTTAGGCCACCCTCCAGCACCCCAGTTGCAGCTTTCTCTGAGCCAGGTCTGGTTTGCAGTTCAACTTTCAGCTCCCTCTATCACCAGGTCCCAATTCCATAAACATCTGAAAAGGTTTCAGAAAACTCACTTAATTTTGCCGCCACCTTCTTGAAACCAATTTGACAGAAAACTTTACTAACAGCTTTCCTCCTCTGAAGGATAACATTATTGACATCTGCTCACCATGCTTATGATGAAGACAAGACCTTAGTAGCAGCTGACTTCAAAAGCCGGTGGCTAGACCACCTTTATTCATTGTAAAGGAGTGAGGCTACAGGTAACTCAGTTGAGCTGCAAGAAGTTAGAATGGGAAAATGCAGAACATTCAGATGCCACAGCAACTTTACCAGCTTGTATCAAGCTTCTAACATGCGCTCCCCACACTAACTTGTTTAGAGAGGGGCATGTGGAAGGGAATTTAGCCTGTGATAAACTAGGACAGGTTTGTGCTCAATCCTCTTTCTGGATCGCTAGTTAAACCAATCCTACAATTCTTCAGGTAGGCTAGATCCCAGGCTAAAAGTCCTTGCAGTCATCAGCAGCATGCCAAGAGAATCCTTCACCTTTTCCAACACTCGCATCCTTCTTCCTCCTGAATTTGGATAAGCATTCTGCTCACTCTCCCCTTAGGAAATACCCAACCAGCACCTGAAGAACTTGCAGCTGAGCTTCTCACCAGTGAGAGCTCCCAGCACTTCTTGCTTCTTACCCATGCTGGACCAGCACAGATAACCACCACAGCAAGTAGAACCGTCCCTCCTCTTCTTCTCCTATTGCCTACAGTACCAGCCACAACCCCCAACCACTATCACGTGTTGAAGGCAACAGCTGCTCCATACCAAATCAGCAGTGGGAAAGGGCGATAGGCAGGACCAGAGCAGGATCACCTCCAACCTCCCATCCCACTGAAAGCTCTGACCCAGCTCCTTGGGCCCCCTCCAACATCTGCCAGCCCTATCCATGGTGATGATGAACACTCACTGCCTTCTCCTCCCAGCCTTTCCCCCCAGCAGTACCATGACAGGAGAGGCACACTCAGTGCAATGGGACTTTATTGGGGTCTGGCCAGTCACTTGCTGCTGGTGTATTTGGTGACAGCCTTGGTGCCCTCAGAGACAGCATGCTTGGCCAGCTCACCAGGCAGCAGGAGCCGCACGGCTGTCTGCACCTCCCGGCTGGTGATGGTGGAGCGGTGATTGTAATGGGCCAGGCGAGAGGCCTCCGAGGCCAGACGTTCAAAGAGGTCATTGACGAAGGAGTTCATGATGCTCATGGCCTTAGAGGAGATGCCAGTGTCCGGGTGCACCTGCCAGATGGTAATCAAGCACTGTCTCACAAACCCATCATCCTGAAGTGGGGGCCACACTTCCCCCCCTTCAGACAGGGCACTCAAACCACACAGGGACCCTCATTTTCCACCGTAAGGGTCTCAAGTCCTGTGCCACTTACATTAGACTGAAGAGAAGCTTTGGGATTGCACTGGCAAGAGCCTCTACACAATCCCTTATGGAAAACCAGCCTGTGAGAAGTGGAGGTAGAACATGAGCTCCAAGTCTTGCCTACAGGATCATGCAGGCAACTGAGGCCCAGACAACTCATGGTTACCTCTGAAAAGGTCTTTTGCTCATCTCCCCAACAGGAATTACCAAAAATATTTAAATTCTTACACAGAGGGCCAGCACCAGCCCTATTGCCTTTTACTCAATCATGTCTTTAGGCAAAGCTATGTACTAAAGCTTATTCTCACCAAGAAACCCTTTCTGATTGAAGCCCATTTCTTGCCTTGCCTCTTGCTCAGAATCCCCCTCAACATGTACTTTTGAGATTCAGCTGCAGCAGTCTTGTACCCACTTATTCTGTTTTCCATCTCCCTAATAAGCAGATTTTCCCTCCTTTTCTTTAGGCAGTTAACATGCAATGGGCAGAAGTGACTTTACATATGAAGCTGCTTCTAGCTGAAAAGAAACATTTGCTCACCTGCTTCAGTACTTTGTAGATATAGATTGAATAGGTTTCCTTCCTCTTAGGCTTCTTCTTGGACTTCTTCTCCCCAGAGGGGGAAGCATGACCATACTTTCTCTCACTTGCACTCATCTCAGTCTCTAACAGAGCAATGAGTAGGTGCCATGGGTCTGGTTATATACTAAAGGCAGCAGCACCTCACCTGCGCCAAGTGCACTCCCAAAGAGCAGAACAAACACACACCTGTAACTGATGATTCCACTTTGCACTAACTGAAGGGCAGCTAGCATGGGAGGACCTTGGAAGTTACTGACCCAACTAAATTTTCAGACCTGAGAAAAGCTCTGAGAGTAACATGGGCAAAGAGGTGGGCAAGAGCAATAGCATCTCATTCACATGGGGCAGAAGTGTCAGAGGAAAGCTATTCCAAGGTTTTGGTGAAAGGTGCCTTCCTGCTTTGGTAGAGGGTATAAACCGGAGTACTGCTTTCAGAATCAAATGGGTGGAACCTCTTCCGTGCTATGTAACAGATAATGCAATCAGTGCAGACTCAGTCACTGAAGGGACTATCAGTCTAGTGAACTGAACTATAAACATCCCAATAGCCAGTATTCATCCCACTATCTCAGATAGCCTGCTCCTGGGAGTCCTGCCTGCTATACATAACAGGGCCTTGAAGGATGGAAGGGAGGCAGTGGGAGGGTGAACATCCTGAATATGTATTTGATCTTGGAAATCAGTGATCACACCAGTGCTGATAACTATGATGCAGGAATTAAGCCAGGAAAAAAACCATGTACAGCAAACACAGTACAGAAGAGAACAAAACAGAAAGTTTCCTGTCCTTGAGATGGAAAAGGAAGCCTTTCTCTGAGCAGGCATCACATCAGGTGTTTCATAAAAGGGTGATACCTTTGAGGTATTACTTCACGTACCTTTGAGATACGTAATGTACTTTTGAGGGAGGAGGCACTGGCACCTCTGTGCTGCCATCCACACTGTCCCCTGCTCAGGGCCTCCATTATACTGGCATGTTCTTAGCAAATCATGTCTTCCAAGGAGTGAGTTTGGGAGACTTGCTCATCAGTCACTGTGCCAGTGCTTGTGCATACAATAGCGTTTCACTGAATTTAGGTTCATTCTAGGCCTGTCTTCATGGGAAGGCATCTGGCCACCCACCCTTAGTGCAAATAAAAATCACAGTTACAAGCAGGGTCTAAATATCACAGAAGGGCTTCTTGCATGCAAGAACTGAAATATTAGTGACCAGGTGGAACATGCTAGAATGGTCACATCAGCGCATTCATGACAGAGAATAGGCTTGGGCATTGAAGATATGAGGTAGTGGGATCCTTCTGGGAACAGCAGTGACTCATACTGAGAGCAAGGAGCAGGCAAAATCACTACCTGTGTTTTCTATGAGGCCATGCATTGACAAGGACCAGTACAGGGCTTCTCTCCTGATGTACATTCCACACACCAGTTTACAGACCTGTAAATAGCTGAGATCTTTGTGTTGGGGAAGATTGTTCACTGCGGCTGAAGCTGTTTTACCTTTTCTCCCGGTCACAGCAAACAAAAGCTCTTTCATGCTAAAGGAGCTGTTAGCCCTTGTACCTCTCCACAGCTCCTGCTGCATCTGGCACCAGCAGTTACATGCACACAGCTTGTTTTTTTTGACAAAATCTTTAGTTAGAAGAAAGCCCTTTGTGGAGAAGGAGCAGTGACTGGTCACTCAGCACTAAGCACAAGGAGCCATTAAATAGCAAGGGCAGAGGCTCATCCAGTGAGCAGTATGGTCAAATCTGTACTCCCAGACTGGGGAATTACCACCGCTTCCCTAGACTGCATGTGCTAGAGGCTGCTCAGTGCGGAAGCCGTGTGCTCATCTTGACTCATCCTTGTGATGTTTTTGTACTTTATGGATCGAGTCACAACACAAAGACAAGGGAATCCCACAACCTTGCACTTGATGTAATACCTGCCACTTCTGGCTGTGGCTGTGTCACTTTTAGACTTGAAGCAAGAGTAACGCTGTAGAGGCTCGAGGCCACTTCTTTCACAGAAATGACCATCCTAGCAGCTAGATACAGTTTTGCTTTTCTGCACGACCAGAAAAGGCCTAGCTCAAACAGTTCAAAATGCCACTGCCCAGCTAGTGGCTGTCTCTCTCACAGACATCAGGACTACAGGCCATATACCTGCCACAGCTGCTTCAGTGCAGTCTTACAAACTGTCAGCATAGAACAGGCTTAAACCAAGTCTGAAATAACAGACTGATATGGCATGTATGAATATATACTTCATTTTACAAGTCTTAGCCTATTGTGACCTCTAGTGCAGTTACAGCTACTTTTGCTTTGAACATGTATGTACCTCTGGTCCTTGTTTGCTAACTCAGAGACCTGTCTGCAACTGAGAAATTCCTCGTGTTTTGTAGCAGCAGACAGCTAACACAGCTAGAAATATTCTCAAACTACTGTCCATCATGCTGGCTGTCAATGTTCCCATGCACTTCTCAGGATTTAGTATTCCCAAAGAACTCAGTGTAAGGTTTTATCCTAGATTTATTATTGCCACCATGGCTCTCAATTACTAATCTGAAATGGAGAGATTAGAGTTGTTGCCAAATGTTTGACAAGAATCAGGAAGAGCAGAATGAACAGCTCTAACCTCAGGCAGGCCTTCATGACCTCACCATTCTCATAGCTACTTTGCAACCCTTTCCAAGTCACCAACATCTTTCTAAAACCTAGAGAGCAGAACAAAGACATGCATTCATCTATTCTTGTTTCAACTTTTGTGACACCAATCAGCCTTTACAGTAATTACTTATGTGTGGGCTGCTTTTACTCTTCACTGTCTGTTAACTTCTGAGTACTACACTCTGAAACTTTTCAATGCAATCTAGCCTTTTCTGCAGAACTTGAACAGCATTTATACTAACCTGCATTATTTCCTCAAAAATAATACTTCACCCCTCAGATCATTGCTAAACCCACTGAAAAACCTGATGTTCTGCACTGTCTACTGGAGGCAGGTCCCATTGTGACATTCATCCTGTGGATGATCTGCAGCACTTCTATAGCAGCAGTCACAACTTGGATGGTTTAGTTGGAAAAAAAACCCAAGGAAATGCTTTACTCAAAAAGTAAGATCCACGGATAGCTGGCATCTGAGAAAGTACTGCAAGAGAGTGAGCACAATTACTCCATATTTGTCCTATTCTTCAATTTGCCTGCTGACGTGTACTGGTGGAACAGGTTACCAGGCTACACGAGCCCCTCACATAAGCAGTACAGCCACTGTCACGTGTCAGAAGTAATTAAAATGACAGCTCGCAATCCTAGGAATTTTATAGGATTTGGATTGTTATATTTTTCTTTAGTATGTTTTGTTAAAAGAAATGAAAACTGTATTTTATTGAAGCTTCTATGGCAGAGGGTGAGGTCTGAAACTTTCCTAAAAATTTGCCATTAAGAACAAAAATAAACCAACTTTAGTCAATTAGTCTTGTTTAGTTATACCTCCAGGGAACAAATAACTTCATAGTGCAAAAAATGCTAAATTATTGAGTCTTATTATTCAACCCATGCAATTCAAGGTGAAGGAAAAAGCACACGCCTAAGCCATTCTGCTGCAGACAACAAACACACTGGTATTTTATAGATCTAAATTCTGTTTCTAACAGCCAATCTTCAGAATCCTTCGAAGTTTTGTCTGTCCAGAATGCATGTGTGGCTTGCTCCCCCTTCTGTCACAAACTGGAAAATACAGTGTTCACTGGATCATCAGAGGTATCCTAGGTTAAGGATCATACTCACTGCTCTGTACTTCCAGAGCTCAGTACTAACCACTTCATAGATCCCATGAGTTCTGGTCATAACTTTGGTAGTAACTTCACCCCAGAAGACACAGCTCTGCATCCTCACTTAAAACTCAGCACAAGCTGATCTGCCCCAGCATGCCCCAATAACTACTATGGCTCACAAGACAAGAGCGTTCTTCCCTCTTTATTGACTGGTGGATTCTCAGGCAGATTTGTTAATTACACTGTTAAATAATAGTTAAAAACAAACCAAGGCCAGAGGAGTTTGACGTGAAGTATCTAAACTGAAGCAGAAATTGGGAAGGAAGAGGCAGGAGAAGCTGGGCTGGGGTCTCCACTTCTGTATCACTGCAGCTCAGACAACCTAACTGCCACTGCCGTGATCTGAGATCATTAGATTCCAAGGCCCGGCTCAGATGGGACATCATCTAAATATGGAAACGGTTGCCCAAATGTAGCCAGATCAGGAGAGAAGAGATCTGTCCAGATACAGAGGTGCAAGGCAAGTCAAGGGGAAGCAGTATTGCAGCAATCCTAGAACACAGCCAGAGATAGCAGCAGAGTCCCATTCCAGTCGGCAGATGGGCGAGTCACATTGGCCACTGTCAGTCTCCACAGTGAGCATCTGACCGACTGCTCTAGAGCTCACATGTTGTGGGTCTTTTTGGTGAGCTGCGGATCCTCACCCACCAGCTTTGACTTGAGATGTTCCTTGTAGGAGAGGATGTCGCCTTGCCACTTTGTGATTGTCTGCTTCTCACAGACCCAGATCTCCTGTGCAACCTGAAAGCAAGCACAGGAGAGGTTTACAGTGCAGCATTTAATAATTTTACCAAAGTTATAAAATTATCCAAAATCTACTGTCTGAAGTATGGTAAGAAAAGAGTTAGGGTTAGGGCTAGGGTTTCACACTTCACACTTCAACTACCAAAGAAAAATACCTGTAGTGAAATATCTTACCTGGTGTTTTCTGCATATTTATACAAGATTCTAGAACTAAAAATCCTTGATTCCTCAACATTTTTTTTTTGTTCATGGACTAAGGAGGTGTCCTAGGTTCAGCAGCAGTAGCAGTCATTTTTCTCCTTAGTAGCTGGTGCAGTGCTGTGGTTTTGACTTTCAGCCTGGGAACAGTGCTGATAACACCGATGTTTTCAGTTGCTGCTCAGTAATGTTTACTCTGACCAAGGACTTTCTGATTCTCATGCTCTGCCAGGGAGGAGGGGAAGCCAGGAGGAAGCAGAGAGAGGACACCTGACCTGAACTAGCCAAAGAGATATTCCAAACCACAGCACAGCATGTCCAGTATAGAAACTG